CATCTAACACAACTCATCACACCTCACTCATCTTACACAACTCAGCACATACCACTCATCTTACACCACTCATCGCGCCCCACTCATCTCATTCACTTTTATCGTCCAGAATCTTTCCGTCATCCTTTCCTATCAGTCACTACTTCTCGTTGCTAATTCTTACAAGCTTAACATGTGGGGTTATCCGGTCCGTTTAATTTAGTTCTTATTCTTCTGAAAACCTTTGGACTGAATCCGTTTTCAGAAATCCATGGGGTAATTCTTGCATGCCCGGCATACCCATGCGATTTGCTGGATGATTCTGTTGGATGTGCGTTCTGCAGTGAAAAAGCTTTGACACTTTGCCGACTCAGCCTACGAATGAAATAGCTTTGCGCACACACACACACGTAGATAAGGTTTCACCCAATGCCAGAACCCACAGTGATAGTATCAGCGGTGACCCGTCCCCCTGCTTGCAAGTTGGGAGAAACAAAGGAGACGGAGAAAAAACCCTTGGATACAGGGTGTGGCACACACACACAAGTCGCCGCTTGGCGGCGCGCTCAAGCAGAAGATTGAGAAGGTAACAGCGTAGTGACGTAGTGGACTGCGTGAAAATTACGTAGGTTCTAGAGCAAAAGACTACCTAGCGCTTGACTACTTAGCCCTTGACCAAAAAGAAAAATTTCGTTACATACCTAAAAAGCCTCTAGCAGAAAAACAGACCTAGAAAGAGAAACGAACAGGCAAGAGAGAAAGAACCAAAAACCCGAGGGGCAGAGAAACGGGCTTCAAGAACCACCTAACATTGAAAGAACACCTGACAAACGAAGAAAGCGCAAGAGAGAAAGCGGGGGGGGAAGGGTGTGTGTACATGTGTGTGTAGATCGTGAGCTCGGCAGCTGGAGTGTCAGTTGATTCATGGGTGAGACAAAATCAAACCAAACTATAATCCACAAATGCAAGAGAACCAAAAAAACCAGCAAAATCAAAATCCACAATGGCTTCGGCGCCCCCTTGCGGGGGATCACGCCACGCACCCAGGTGGGAAAGCGCAGCGATAAGTTTTCACCCCATGCCAGAACCCACAGTGAAAGGGATGAGGGAACGGCAATGGGGCGGAGTCAGCCCACCCGAAATGTTAAGCACCGCCCTCAGAGAAACGCCGAAGTAGTTACTGAATACATAGCAGTCTTGAACTAAAGCCGAGCATAGGGGAGTAGGTTCCATGGGAAGCGAGACAAACGAATCGCTTGAAATAGGTAGAAAAGGAAGTGAAGCCTCCTGTTGTATAGCTAGAAAAAGGAAAAGAAACTTCTTGTTTATGGCTAGGGGGCGAGGCTGACGAAGCGCCCCATTAGATAGATGGGGAAGGACAACAGAAGGAAAGGAACCGACGCACACGGTCCGCCGAGAAGCATTTCCTTCTGTTATCCACTAGGTTGGGGTAGGTGCAGGTACACAGTGGAGCGTCCCCCACTGCATCAGGACACACTGATACCCTCTTCGTTGGACGGGTAGTAGCAGCGGTGACCAGTCCCCCTGCTTGCAAGTTGGAAGAAACAAAATGAGACGGAGAAAAACCCTTGGATACAGGGTGTGACACACACACACACACGCGCACACGCACGGTGCCAGTTGAAAGTTGAAACAAGTAATGTAGGATCGACAAGCCTCAGACTATTAGAGGAGTCACCACATGAAACCAATGATTGGAACACACAGGGAGCAGATCGGCTAAACAAGGATTGTTTTTGGACTTATTCGTTTTCGCCACCTAGCGGAAACGCAGCACTTTGGGTGGAGGGTAAACCTAGTGTTGAGTTCCGCACTGTTCTGCTGGAAGATTGAAGGGAGGAGTCACTTAGTCAATCCCTTCATATTTGAATTTGCGTTAGCTCCAGGTGCTTCCTTCGTTGTTGATGCAATGGTGAACAATAAAGCTTCTTATGTTGCTCATGGAGATCGTTCTCAAAGGCAGCTTGGATGATACCGGGAAGCAATGCCATCACTTGGGAACGGCAACGCTCGATGAAAATAGCTGCTGTCCTCCCATTTTCATGCTGTCCTCAAAGCTAGGATTCAGATAGATGTTGCACGCGATCGCGCCGGAACTTTTTTCCAAAGGAACAACTGTGACGACGAACCGCAACAGTTTCCTCCCTCACAGTTCCAGATTGCGGTTCACACAGACGCGAATTGCCATGCATGTCCGCTTTCGCTGTGAATCAAGTGGCGGCCAATCAGACACACAGACACAAACCTGTTGTTTGGAAATATGTGCAGCTATACACCTTAAACTTGCCCATTCCTTCAGATTCAGCGTTGTATTGCTGTGACATCACGATTGCGATAGGTGAGGTAAGCGCCCAAATACCACCATACAAAACCTGACTCCAGACGCAGCACTTGGGCAGGTTTGTGTTGTGGTACTCTTCGACCAACCAGACGCGGCTTGGAACTTGAACCTGGTTTTCATCTGAAAGGAGAAAGACAAGAACCTCTATTTGCCTGAGGTTCAAAAGCCTGAACAGTTGGTCAACCTGCTTTTTGATCCACAGGCATTGGGCAACAAAGGGGCTCCTGGCCAATAACTGATGTCTATGGCCGATTGCCAAAAAAGACAGATGTTTTGAGGGGCGCCAGATGGAAGGATTGCAGTGTTTTTTTTCATGAAACTGAGGTGGATTGTGAATGCTGGTGGTGTTGCGCATGGATTGGGGCAGCAGGCGCAGCCACTGATATTCAGTGAGTCCAACACTCGAGGGGAACCAACAGAAGCTTGGCAAACGAAGTTCGGCACACCTGGCCAATCACAACACCCTTATATAGACACCTGCTTACCGGTATAGACAGACCCTTGAGAGCATCCAATTACTACTTAAGTGTACATGAGTGGACGTCAAAAGGCGAGTGTTTCCAGAACCGCCTAGTGAGGGTAGCGAACGCTGTACTACATTGCTACCTGCATTTCTCCGTGCCACCTTTGCTCTTCAGCTCTCGTTCTGTGCCGAGGATGTTCGCCTGCGTCTCAGTGGCCAGCGACACACCGTTCGTCGGTTCGGACTCAAAAGCAGAGCCGAACCGAAGAAACGTGAACGGAACACTGATCGTCTCCTGGCCGTCTCCTTGGCCGTCGAGACGCCGTTTGGTGTTCCGGGTTGCTGTTGCACGATTGGTCGAGGCCAGTGGTATTACTTTGACACGTACATGGGCGCGTGGCTCACGAGTCCAAATCTGAAATTCCGCATTGACGTGCCTTGGAGACAGTCTTTTGTGGTGATAGGTGGTGGAAAGGAACACGGCGGAAGTGTTTGATGCGCGCAACAAGATATAGAAAAAGAATGAAACAGCGGTTATTTTGGCATCCTCCTTTGAATTTTGCACCTTTGACGACAAGGTCTAATGAGGTTTAGGGCCTAGGGGGCTGTTTGTTTATGCTTCTTTGGCTCGTTCCAAGGAACAGGAAGCTGACGATACTGCTGCAGACACCTGGTGGAACAGCATGTTGAAGCCAATTCCACTGGTAGAGCTCCGATGAACGAGTGATGTGATCCGTTGACCAGCTCCAAGACAGATCTTCCCTTGCGAAAACGCACCTCCCAAGTAAGAAAGCAATGCCATTTGGTTCAAAATCATGGACATTGGCGAGATGTGCTTGGGAAGCGTAGATTTTTCGCTGGATCAGATGCATTTCTTCGTTTTGGCGATCGTTTGTTACTTATACTTCTTTTTCAGAAGCCGCTTTTTCCCGATTCACTCGAATGGATGAATCAATCTTCGTTCCTGTTTTCCAGGATGTTTCTTGAACTAGCCCAGAGCCAAAAGTCCCAAGAAGCTATTTGGCTAGAGACGATCATCTCCAAATGGCCACTTGGCCAGCTGGGTTACCTCAGGTTGATTTGGACAGCTCTGGCATGAAACATTTGATTTAAGGAGCCTGTTTTTCAAAGTTTTGGCCGGGCATGGCCCGTTCCTTCGCCACGACCAGCGAAGGTTGGACTGTGGTATGAAAGGCATTTTTGACACCTCATTTTCGCGGTGTCATGGACTTGAGGTGCCGGATCGAGTCAGTATATATATATATATGAGTCTAGCTATCAGAATGTGGGAGATTTGCTGACTGTTTGACGCGATTGAATTGCAGAAAGCTGTGTATATATGCTTGTGTGTATGTATGTATGTATGTATGTATGTATGTATGTATGTATGTATGT